ACAGGCGTGAGCCACTGCGCCCAGCCCTTTTATTATTTATATTCAACAATCTATCTCATACCTACAGAAATAAAGAAAAGACATTTTGATAGCTTGAGAGCTGCCAAACCATTATATTTTCATATTTACAATATTCATGATAATTACTAAGTCTTTAGAAAATTTTCACATTGTCTATTTGAAAAACAAAACATAGAAACATCAAGAAAAAACATTGAAAGTCAACCAGATAATCTCAGACAAATCATTGTTTATCATTGTTATTTTAGAAAAGAAGAATAAAAGTGTTTTCTACCTGAAAATCTTATGCAATTTTTTTTTTTTTTAACATGTCACAACTTTGGCTATTAACTTGAAATAAACACATCCAAGAAACAGGACAGAAGAAACTATATAGAATATATTTTTGGTGCACGTCATGCTAGCTGAGAGTTCACTGAGAATTTGATTATCTATCTTCCAGTTCCGAACCTTTGACCCATGCAAACAGCTGTGGTGTAGCCATCCTGATAATCCCTACTTTTGTAAGACTAAAAAGGGACCTCCACTTGATGGGACTGAATGTGCTGCTGGAAAAGTGAGTATATCTATTTACGCAATAAATATGTAACATGTTGCATAATTATCATCTTTAAAGATCTGGAAAGTGGTGAATACAGCTGCACTGTCATTTTTATGTGAAAATCATAGTATGCAAGGTTTTATTATGGTAATGTACTAAGATAGTATACTAGATCCCTGTGGCTAAGGTAACAAATTATCACAAACTTGGTGGCTTGAAACAATGGATATTTATTCCCTCACAGTTCTAGAGGCCAGAAGTCAAAAATCAATTTCAATGAACTGAAATCAATGTGTGGGCAGGGCCGTTCTCCCTCGAGAGGCTCTAGTTGAGAATCTTTTCTTTGCTTCTTCCAGCGTCTGGTGGTCACCCTACATTTCTTGCTTTGTAGCTACACCACTCCAGTTTCTGCTTCTGTGGCCACATTGCCTTTTCCTCATTTTGTGGGTCAAGTCTCCCTCTACCCCTCTCTTATAAGGATACATGTAATGGCATTTAGGACCCCATGGATACATTTTTAAATGTTTAAGTTAATCACATTTGCAAAGACTCTTTTTCCAAATAAGCTAACATTTACCGGTTCCAGGGATTAAGACTTGATATCTTTGGGACTACAATTCAGCCCACTATTGTCAGACTAGGAAGAAGCAACTCAGCAGACCATCTGCCCCCCTGGTAGTGGGATCTGATTGACCTGCTGGCATCCCATTCCTTGTGAAAGTTGCCCAGAAATAAAGTCATGTGAACTTATACAGAAGATTTGGCCTTGTTCCTTAGGGAAGGATGCCCAGAGGTTTTAAATCTCAAATTGTGTAGTCAGGATTGAATGCTCAGAAATTGACTTAGTGCCAAGCTACGCTACTCATAAGGGCAAAGATCCCAAAACAAAGGCATGTTAAGAACTCAAGTTGAAGAGCTTTGACTAGTTTAGAAATAAGAAATTGTAGGCAGGACTAAAACCTGGTACAGAAGATTTATATGGCGTTTAGTTCTTTCAAAGCTCAATTTCAAATGTGTATAAACTGTACTTGTGACAAGGATTATATGCTTATTAATAATAAAACCTGTCTTTTTAAGTATTTGTACTATATTAGGCACTATGCAAAGCACATTATATACAATGTTTTGCTTTGGGAAAATTCAATATCATAAACTTCTGACTAGAAACAAGAGCATAACGAGTTGATTCATTTTTGCTTTATAAAAATTATATAATTAACTTTTTAACATCCAACTTTCTTAAATATATTGGTGTTATATTGAAATTTATAAAAGTTGAGTTTTAACAAATGCTTTTATTGTATGTAGTATGAAAAAGTAAGTCAAAATGTTGGAGAGGAAAATGACTAACATCTCTTGAGCACCTGCTGTATGCAGGGCACTCTAAGCTAGGTGCCTCTATAGTATTAGAGTTCTGGTAGCCCCACTTAATTACTTCTTGGTCAGATGGCCTTCAACTACCACTGATGAACCTTTCTGGGCCTCAATTTTCCTCATCTAATTGGTGATGATTATATATATGACCCATCTATCTCTCAGAATCATTGTGAATGAAAAAATTTAAAAGTTAAATAAAAGTGCTTTGAAAGCTGCATAGGTTTTGGACATGTTATATTATTATCTAAGTCAAGACATATTTTATGTTATCATTTTTAAAAAGATCATATAGCCCTCCAAAGATTCTGCTATGAGATAGGTAGTGACAGATGAAGGGTAAAATATTACCAACTGTGCAAGCTGGGTGCTCAAAGGGTTCTTATTGATTATAATGTTTGATGCTCACTGGTGAATGTATCATTTAAAAATTTAGTCTGAGTGAATGTTGTTTTTCCATTTTAATTTTATACTTGAAAAATACAAGTCTAAATTACCCTTTGATAGGGTATATTAATGATACAATTGCTTTTGGATAATTTTAAATGCATCTCCACCTGGAAGAAAAAAGAGCATCTAGTCAAAGCCCTTTAACTAGATGGTTCTTGTATAACAACTTCAGCTTTAGTGTGCGCATGATTTTAATAATTACTCTTTGTCATTTTCCTAAGTGGTGCTATAAGGGTCATTGCATGTGGAAGAATGCTAATCAGCAAAAACAAGATGGCAATTGGGGGTCATGGACTAAATTCGGCTCCTGTTCTCGGACATGTGGAACTGGTGTTCGTTTCAGAACACGCCAGTGCAATAATCCCATGTGAGTATATCCTTGTAATTCTTATTATTTTTGGAGAAACCAGAAAATACTTCAATATTATGTTATTAGTATTCTGTTTTATAAAGTGCACGTAAAACACAGGGCAGGAAAAGAAATTGTTCACGGTTCATAAACCAGTTTGTGTTTTCGATATATCTCCATTCATCAGTCCTGTGACAAGCAGTCAGTGATGAAGATAAGAAGATCAAATGGAGATTGAATATTTGTAAAGAAGTTGCTGTTCAGGAATATTAAGAAGCTGAACAAGGAAAAAGTAGGTCACTGTGCCCTAAGGGCATGGGCATGGGCACTTCGAGATCAACTGCCAGAAGCAAGGGAGTGTCCAGGAAAGAGCAGTACCAAGCATACAGACTCACTCTCTTCAGGGAGTGGAACGTGATTGCTTCAGAGGCGGGCAAAAGAAAGATTGTGATAGAAGGCCAGGTGACTATTGGGGGAAAGTTATCCATTCATTCACTCAGACTACAATTATTGAATCCCTATTGTGTGCTCAGCAATCTTTATGAAGAAAAAAACAACTGAATTATCACATTTAGAGGATTCTTCCTTGTCTAGGGTTTAATATGTGAGCAGCTTTTTCTCTCTGTTTCTGGCAGCAGGATAGCTCTGAGCGTGTCTTTCGTAAGACTGTCTGATGCCACATACCTGCCTTCACAGGAAGAGATGATGGTAGTATTAGAAGTAACAAGGACAATAAAAATTAAAAGATCAGCTAAAGTTCATTATGAGCCAGGGTTTGTTAGGAGTGCTTTAAATAGTGTCAACTCATTTAATCTTCACAATTTTCCTCGAAGGAAGACAGTATTATTTGCATTTTACATATGAGGAAAGCGAGTCATGGAGCAATGACCAAAGTTTCTTTGAGCTGCATCTATGTGTTTTATACATGGTGGAAAAATATCATTGTATCGATCCAATAGACATGCTTTTTTTTTCTTATACACTTTTGCCATGCATTTAAAATACATGATTTGAAAAGCTGATTTACGTTGAGCTTTGTGTTTTGTTTTACTCTTCCACCCAGCAGGGAGAGAAGGGTGCTTTTGGAAAGGGACTGAAATTAGGAAGTATGAGTTCATTCACTTTGTGCTGGCAGCCCAGAAACTCTGGCTTTATGCCCTCAAGCACTGTGTCTGCAAGCTTCAGTTGCTAGACAGAAGCCAAAAGGCCTTTTTAAGTATTGTCTTTTCTTTAGGCCCATCAATGGTGGTCAGGATTGTCCTGGTGTTAATTTTGAGTACCAGCTTTGTAACACAGAAGAATGCCAAAAACACTTTGAGGACTTCAGAGCACAGCAGTGTCAGCAGCGAAACTCCCACTTTGAATACCAGAATACCAAACACCACTGGTTGCCATATGAACATCCTGAGCGTGAGTAGCCTCCTGCTCTTCTCCCTGCTGTGTGGATGGTTACTCACAGTTTAAGCTTTGCCAGCACCAATCCCATGGACTCTTGATCCCTACTTGGTAACTTAGGAAACTTGGTGCTTATAGGAGTAAGTTCTCCTCGGTTTCTAAGAATAAGGCTAAAGTACCCTTTCTGTAAAGAGGTAAGAATTGTGCAATAGTTCCTGGCAAGCAGCACGATCACCATCACTGGTGAAAGACCAGTGGAAAGGAATGCCTGGGAGAGATGTTGGAATTCCTGATTCAACCAAAATCCCTCTACTAGGAAATACTTCTGGAATATTGTGATCTTTCCTTTCTGAACGACTAGAGAAAAATCTAGTTCTTTGACAATTGAGTCAGGACCAAGAGAAAGCTCATTATTTAATAACAAAAGATACCTTATAACCTTTTACTTTTGTACTATCGACTAGTTTAAAAAATACATTTGGAAATTTTCTTTTAATGTTTCACTTCTTACTTCTGAATTTTTGGTTAAATATGTCCAAGTGGCAACTTTTTGCCATACTTCTTATTTGAGTGAATGAAAAGAAATAGTCATGTGATTACGTACACCACTGGGTTCAGTTCAAATCCATCTTAAAGGAAAGAAGAATACACATAAGAATTCGAAGTTGCAACGCATTAAGAAGAAATGCATGCTTTTTATCTATTTTGGTGAAGTGAGTTGCATCCTGTAAGAGACAAAAACTATGGTAGGTAATTGAGGCAAATCAGAGACATTCTTTCAGTGCTCTAATATTACAAAAACTAAACTGGTTTCGAATTAAAATTTATGTAAGAGCTATGGTGAAATCTAGGGTTGCCCGGGGCAGTCCCGGTTTATACCTGCTGTTCCTGCTATTACTAGAGCCCCTTTTCTACTTTAGATGATAAATTATATGGTCACCTTAGCTAAAACAAATATGTCAGATGTACATACTTTTCTCCTTACTCCTTATTTTATTTGTTTATACAGTATTCCTTTTGTTTTTAGGAAATCACATTGAAATCTTATATTTAAAAATAAAACAAACTATGCTGTTCAAACATTCCATTTTATGTAAATAGTTAATTTTATCCTCCATCCTATGCAGCCAAGAAAAGATGCCATCTTTACTGTCAGTCCAAGGAGACTGGAGATGTTGCTTACATGAAACAACTGGTGCATGATGGAACGCGCTGTTCTTACAAAGATCCATATAGCATATGTGTGCGAGGAGAGTGTGTGGTAAGTTCAAATTGCTTCCCCAAAGGCTTTCTACAGTATCTACATTTACTATCATTCATCTGCACATTTTTAATTTTTTAAACTATTTTATCTTTGAAATCACATTACAATAAGTGTCTATGAATAGTTCAGTAGCTAAAATAAATTTGGGAGACATTATACTTTCTCAGATCAAATTTTGGTCACTGGCAGAATCAAGGTTTAAATAATTTTCCTAATTTCCAGCCAAATGCCTTTTTTAAGTAACTCTGAGGCCTCTAGGTTGGGAATACAAATTGGTAATAATGCATTTGCTTCGGGTGTTTCAGCAGGCATCTACTGTTAAAATACAAGGTCTTTTTAAAAATAATCAGTGCTAAGTGTATTTAATCTTTTGTTGTAAAGATAATAAGACATTTCTTTCTCACCTTCTAATCAATACTAACTTTAAATGCTAAATTTCACATTAGAACAAAAGTTGTTGGGAAGCAAACGTGGTTTTTTTTGCTCCATTTAATCTCATGTTAAAAATGCATTTTATTTCTTGTGTTCATAGTTAAATTGATATGAAATTATCTTATTAGCTGAAACACTGTTCCTAATGTGTATTTCCTGTATACTTCAGCAAAACTGAAGTGTTGTATTAATGAGTCTAAAGTAATTGAGCTTACATTTTCCTGAAAGTATAGTATGTCTTGTTCAGCTTTTACCTGCCACAGTACCTAGTACATTAAATGTATGTGTTGTCTTTATTTTCCCTACCACCTTTCATCCCATACTTTTGAGTGCAGTAGTGTATTGTGTCTCATTATTCTACAATGATTTATATTAAGAACATGACTTGGTTCAGAAAACCTTCAGTATTTCCCCGTTTCATGGGAAAATGTAAATTCTTCCTGGTATTCAAGTCTTCTGCAGTCTGTTCCATGCAGATTTTTCACTGTTCTTTCCTTATCATGAAACACTAACCTTCCATTGGTTTAAATATGGGTTTAGATATTGACCTCTGAACCCACTTTCCATGAACATACAACCTCTCTGGCTTTGTTGTAACTCATCTGCTCTCCTGAAACGCTTTTCCATTCTGTGTTTCTTTGGCCCCTGTGAAAGTCTTCACCACTCTTGTGAAGTTTTATCTCACATCCTAACCATCTTTTAAAGATTACACTAATATACAACTCACTATATTATCCATCATCATAAATGTGAGAGCAGCAAGGGAAAAGCACTTACTGTTTTTTTGTCTCCTCAGCATCAGCTACATCTGTGCTCATTATATGTGTGTTTGGTGACTATGACAATTTCAAATGGTGTAAATATTTCATTGGACTAGAGGAAATATATTCTTTATTACTTAGGGTACAAGTCATTTGATTTTCCACTATTAAAAAAAAACTGAGGTATTAAAAATCATGACTACATTGGCAGTTCGCTGTAAATTGGCTGACTGTGGGCCATGAAGGGTTCATCATTCTCTGGGATGTTGACCACTACTGGGCACATTAAAATTAGCCACATTTGACATCTTCTCTCTCCAGAAAGTGGGCTGTGATAAAGAAATTGGTTCTAATAAGGTTGAGGATAAGTGTGGTGTCTGTGGAGGAGATAATTCCCACTGTCGAACCGTGAAGGGGACATTTACCAGAACTCCCAGGAAGCTTGGTAAGATGAGGTCTCTCATGAATTTAGTATGCTTCGCTGTGATTTGTACTTTTTGAGGCTTCTTCTTTCAGAAATGCAGCATTTTCTCTATAAACATAACCAAAATTTAGCTGCTGATTTATTGTTATTCAGATTACCTTTTAAGGAAGTTAAAAAAAAAAAAAAAAACCACTTTGAATGAATTCATACTCCCTAGTGTCAATGATGAAAAAAATACATACTAAATTTAGAAAAGAAACAAATAAAATCAGTATCGGTTATACTAACTAGCCAAAATATGTGTTTTATTTTGCATTTTTAATAAAATGCAGATTGAATTATTAGAATTGATATTTATTTTGAATTCCTGTTGCACATAAATTATTGATCAGGAGTTTAAAAATTACAAAACTTTAGATACAACTTTTAAAGTATCACATTAGTTATACTTATTTAAAAAGTGAACAGTTTTATCCTGTTTATAAATCTAGGAATCTTGGATCTGTATTTCACATAATTTTTAAAAATTTACTTTAAACAAAATGGAGGTACAACCAAAAACTAACCTGAGATGTAATTGCTCATCTCTGTAAATGTTTATGCTTGTTACATAGCCAATAACTTGGACTTAGACATACACTGAAGGTTCAAAGGCAGAACAAAAAGCTGTCATCAAATAGTAGGCAATATTATCCATAGTTTAATAATATTCATTGGAATTTTCATAAAAGATTTGTATACCAATATTTATTACTGAATAATTTCTTGAGTTCGTATCAGATATTCAGTTCTTCAATAAGGATTTATTGGGCAAATGTTTCTGGGATTTCAGCACTTAAAGATAAATTTGACGTGGTGTTTGCTTAAGAAGATTTTCATGTCTTCCAAAGAGCTGCTGGTATCTTATAAAATCATGAAAGTAAAACAAAAACAAAGAAATACGGTTTACATTAAGTATATTGTCATCAGGGTGATTTTTCCTTTTATAAAAAAGTCTTCATCCAAATGAAATAATTCTCTTAGTTTCTTTTTTTAACTCCCATTATACCCCAGCTACCTAACTCAATTACTATGAAACTATATTCTAATGTTTTTCTTGTTACTGATGTCTTTGCTATTCCTGTGTGATAAATTACTTTGTTTTGTACTTTGAAAATTGTTAAAAAGCAAATATTGCTGTTTCTGATTGATTGCATTATTTTATTAAAGCAAAGAGAAATATAATTATATACATGTATTATGTTTCAGTGGAGTCAAATGTAATTTTCTTCATCTTCCTGTGAAATAATGTACTGTGCTTTCTTTATTCAAGTTACATTTTATTCTTTTCTTTTGGATGTAAAATAATTCATTTTGTTTTATTTCCACAGTGAATTAATGTAAAGAAAAGGTTTTTCCATGTTCATTCATTCTATATTATGTATAATATAAGGTATTGGTACTGTTTTTCAGATAGCTCAAACATTATGCTAAACTTGCAAATCAAGGCCCAAAGAACATTAGAAAATTTTCATCTGTCATACCAATTCAAACCGTTCAAAGATAATCTAACATTCATATCTTTGCACTAATATTGTCATCATAGTGATTTAATAGACTAATTAACCTTTTCCAACAGGAAAACATTTAAGCAAGAGGTGCCATAAAGAATTGAAGTTGCTGGAAAATGAAATCTGCAAGTATTCAACTTCAAATCATCTACTTAGCCTTACTTTCATGCTTAGTCTTACTTTCATTGACTATTAACAGTTTATTGGCATTGTCTATTACAAATGCATTGTGACTTCAACACATAAACTTACAGAACACATTTTATATCTTGCCTAACAAAATATATGACTTATGAGATAGTCAATGAAACAACAAGACTTTGATAAACATGAACCCACCTCTAATTAAAGACGTTCTATTTAAGGGAAGGCAAGAGGCGCTTTCACTTTACCCAAAGGAGCTCGTAATATTTCTCTTGCTGAAACAAGAGAAGCTAAAAACGTACTGGGTAAGTTGTAGCAAACTGCAGAAAGATGGGCATCCATAAATGGCATCAAGCTGTTTTGCTCTACTTGGCACCTTAAGCATGTTCCTTCTAGCCACTGTGTACTCAGACAAACATGGTACATTTCATGTGTTAGACTATACCCCAGGCTAAAGTGCTCAACACCCTGATCCCAAAAGGACCACTTTATTTAGTTAGGACACTAATAAATATTGTGAAAAAGTTAGGTAAATCTATTCATAGTGTATATTATTGTACATATACAAATGGCAAAAACACTTTTTTTTCTTATTTCATCAATAATTGTGGATTGATAACTGCGTTTCTGTTAATACTCTCCATAGAATATGTACTGGATGTTTCATAATGTATTGAAAGTGTAGGTTACATAATCATCTTATATTCATTTATTTATATGATAATGAGATGTGTAACATCCGTTCTAATTGACCTGACTATTGTCAGGTCATAATATTTATGATTTATGGACATAATATTAATTCTAAATGACTGTAAGATAATTTTTAGGACATGTGATAATATCAACATAGTATGTGATATATGACGTTTCCAGTAATAGGAATGATACATGATTGTAAAACCCAAAGCAACCAATTAAGCATATTGATTTTCTTATTTCTGGCTTAGGAGGTTTTGAGGTTAGGGTGCATATAAAGGCAATGCGTAACATAATTTGCACACATTTTCCAACTAAGTGGTTTAAAATCCACGTTGTCAATTTGGTTAAAATAGTGCCATCATAAAACTTGTCTAAAGCTTTAAAATTAATGCTGATCACAAGAAAAATGAAAGCACTGATTTTTCTGTTGTAACTCCTTTATAATAAAGAAGGCTTTAAATATGAAAATATTTTAATAATTAGAAGTTTAGCTATCTATACTTCCCTCTTAGACTTTTAAAATAACATGTAGGCAGATAACATATCCCAAAAAGTTCACCACTTAAGTGAACTTTCATTAAAAGTTGACTCCACTTGAAAAGGATGGTTTAGAAAACTAGAATCACACAGAGGGACACAGGAAAGTATAGTATTTGCCTGAATTGTTGTTGACATCATTTGAAGGTCAATACAAGATAAGTGACTAATACATTGGTAACAAGATTAACTTTTTTCCCTCTTTAATAAAAAAAAAAGTTTCCTCTAATTTCATGTTGGATGTCACAAAAGCTACCAATGCTTTGAATTTCTGAAACTGCTTCTTTAAATTTATGGATGCCCTCTTCTGCACGCAGAAGCAGTAAGAATGTAGTGCTCAACTAACCATGGTTATTGCTTTTGTTTTCTTCTTTGCTTCCTACAATATTTACTACACATGCAAAGGGTACCTTAAGATGTTTGATATACCCCCTGGGGCTAGACATGTGTTAATCCAAGAAGACGAGGCTTCTCCTCATATTCTTGGTAAGTGTTTCTGTCTGCTGGCTCTGCTTCAACATGCACTGAAACATTGAAATGTCAAAGAAATCATAAATATAGATATGTGTATATGTACATACGTATATGTACATATATGTGCGTACACATATGTAAGAATCAAAATAATACATAAATGCATTAATTGAATGTTATGTAGGTTTTTTTGGTCATTTCTCCTAACTATGCTTACTTTAAAATAAAAAATAAAAACAAAAAGAGCTTTAATTTTTTATGGAAACTGGGGTTGGTTCCTAATTATATGAGGGAAAAAATCATTTGACAAGCTTATATTTCTTACACACTTTTTGCTCTGTAATAGGGGATAAGAAAATAAATATGTTAATAAAATCAACTAAATTAAGGAATATCAGAAAAATTCATCATACTTATGTTGACAAATAAGTTCTGATATTTTGATTGATCCAATACTGTATATTGTCTTATTTTTATTGTATTTTACATTCTTTGAAAAGCAACCACAGGTGAATTTTAGTAATCTAATCTTAAATTATTCTAATATCTGACATGTGTCAGGTTTTTGACTGGCACATGCAGATCCATTTGCCACAGAGAGCTGATTATAATTTCCACAAGGAGATTTTTTTTTTCTTTTGTGAGAAGATTACATGGAAATGTCACTTTAAAGAGGTATAAATTTAAATTGTATAGACAAGTGTAAACATAACTTTCCTATTCCTTGGCCTATAAGAACACTAAGATAATTTCCGAAACTAAGACATCACATATCAACTCCATGAGAATTTACAGCAAATCATTTTATTTCAGTTGTGACTTTAAAAAATGAATTGTTTTATGGTGTTTCATAGAATTTTTAAACACATTTAAATTATGTTCACTACTAAATGTAATAATAGTCTAGAAGTCAGCTATAGTTCTTTCTCCAGTATTTAAAATTCCTTGTTTTTCATCCTAGAATTCATATTAATGTCCTTGGAAAAAATAGACCAGTTTAAAGCCCTAGAGGAATAGATACATTTAATTAAAATTACTCATGTTTTCTACACATTTTCAGTAATGGTAGTAACATGAAATTTTGTTTTCTAGTATAACATTATATTCTGATAAACAAATCTAAAATTTAAAATCCTAGTCATTATTTTTTACTCACTAAGCCAGCATTTTATTTCATTTTATAATATGTAATAAATGTATACTACGTTAAGAATTCCATTAGCAGTAAGCAGCTTTTCCTAACTATATGAGTAGGTGATATAGCTCTGAAATTTTACAATCATGAGAACTAAATTGTTGGCCTGAAAAATTACTTCAACTATGTTGGATAACTATAAATATTTTGACCAACTTTTTTAAAAATGCAATAAATAAACCATTATGTTATATGCTATCCTAGCATAAATTGTTTCTATTAATTATTGAAAAAGTAGCTGTCATTTTCAAAATATTCCCAGTTTTGTAAGGAAATATATAGGATAAATGATTTAGAAACTATTAACCTCTTTGACGATGTTTTCAAATGGGAATATTTGCAAACATTATTTTTGCCTATTTAACCGTCTTGCCATATTTTTGACTAGTTAGGAATGCTTCGTGAGAGTTTTGAATGCCTAATCAAGACAATGGGAATAATATCAGAACTAACACCCATTTTGATTGCTTGCTACTAATAAAGAAATATGGTCATTGATTTGTAGAAAGGATATATGTGCTGTGAATCTTCAGCACTTAATATGATAAAATAAAATGTATACTGGTTACTCATTTTTCTTCCTTTAGCTATTAAGAACCAGGCTACAGGACATTATATTTTAAATGGCAAAGGGGAGGAAGCCAAGTCGCGGACCTTCATAGATCTTGGTGTGGAGTGGGATTATAACATTGAAGATGACGTTGAAAGTCTTCACACCGATGGACCTTTACATGATCCTGTTATTGTTTTGGTATGTGGCATTACGGGCTCATGGTATAGTTGGTTCAGCTTATTTTATAATTAATCTATCTGAAAACACTTTTACTTTGAACATTAAACGTACTTTGAACATCGAAAAATGAGTTGCCTTTTAAAATAATTCCATTTATCTTCCCCCCATTCTTTGTGCAATATTTTCATGTAATTTATTGTGTATATATATTATAAACTGAATAATGCAGCATTCTGATTTTTGACTTAAATAATCAGTTATCTTTTAAAGACAACACTAAAAGTAGATTTTTGTATTTACCCACTTATTTACCATTTTGTATGCTTTTCATTCTAGTTTGTAAATCTAACGTTCCATCTAGTATCGTTTACCTTCAGTATAAAGATCTTCCTTTAGCATTTCTTGTGGTGTGGGTGTATCGGCAAGTAATTCTCTCAGCTTTCAATTATCTGAAAATATCTTTATTTTCACCCTTATTTTTGAAGGGTATCTTTACTAGATATAGAATCTGAGGCTGCTAGTTTTTTGGTTTTTTTTGTTTCCTTTTTTCCCTTCTTTCAGCACTGTGTTTTTATGATCTTCTAGCGAGTTCCAAGGGTTTGGAGGCTGAGCAAAGAAAAAGATATGGCCACAAGGTGGCAGTAGCACACACACACTTTGAGCGCGGCCTCAGCCGGTTTGCAAGTGGGGCCACCACCCAGAGGACAGAAGGGCAAGGGAACTTCTGAGGAATAGGGGAATCTGAGGTGGTGTATGTGCCTAGGTGGTGTCATTCAGCAGCACAGCAGAGAGTCTGTGGGTCAGAGGGCTCCAAGGGAGGCAGCAGCGTGAGGTCCTTGTAGCCGGAAGGTCTTATTCATATCTAGCAGACGTTGGATGCAGTTTCCTATAGCTGTGCAAAGCAGGCAGTCCCCAAATGGCTAAAACTCCCTCATTTGGGCAGCATTAAAAACAACTGGATGTATGAAAGTTTGTGTTTGGCAGCAGAGGGCTTTTGAGCTAACAGATCTCAGCCTCAGCCTGCTGTGAAGAAATAACCTAGGGGCCAATATACAGGAGCCCTCTTTTACTCATTTATACAGCATTTGCCTTCTAGAATCCATCATTTATGAAGAGAAGCCTCATTTATATCGCTGCACTGTGTGTAATATGTCAGTTTTCTCTTGCTGCCTTTTAAGATTTTCCTCTTCATCTTTTTGTTTTGTCTTGTTGGTTTAGCAGTTTGACTGTGACAGTTTACGGTGTTCTTTCTATGTCTTATGCTTGGGGTTCAGTGAGAATCTTGGCTTTGTAGGTTGATGTTTTTGACAAAATTTGGGTAAATTTCCCATGATGTCTTCTCCTTAATTGTTTTTCCCAAACCCTCACCCCCACCCCATCTTCCTCTTCTTTACTCCTAGGACTCATTTAAATCTGTTGAAATTGTTCCACAAGTCTCAGGCTCTGTTCATCCTTTTATAATATTTTTTAAAATACATTTTTCAGATTGGATTATTCCTTTTGAGCTCTAAGTCACTGTTTCTCTTATGTGATCTCCAGTCTGTCCTTGAGCCTATCCAGTAAATTTTTCATATCAGATAGTGCACTTTTCTTTTCTAGAATTTCCATTTGATTCTTTTTGTTGTAATATCCATTTTTTGGCTGAATTTTTCATAATGTTCACTCATTACATCTAAGTTACCCTTTAAGTTCTGGGTCTTCACGTTGTCTATTTTTATTTTATGAATCACATTTCCTGCTTCTTTTTTTCTTGTACACTTGACATTTTGGAAGATAAACTGTAAGGTGTCTGGTTTTGTTCTGGCAGGCAGTTAAGTTATTGTCAGATCATCCTGATCCTTTAAGGCCTGGTTTTATTCTTGCTTGCAGCTAGTCTCTTTCAGTGTTGTCCTTCTTCCCATGGTGCGGACTTTCTTGGTGCCAGGCTCAGCCCTGCCTGGTTTTTGAATCTCTGTCCCACTCCTAGCACCCCCCTCACCGTGGACTGCCTGGTGTCTTGACCATACACAGACCAACCCTCAGTCATGGACCCATGGAGATTTTTAGGTGATCTCTCTAAGCAGGCCCCTCTTCTTTAGTGCCCTGCTCTGAAGGTTCCAAACTCTAATCTATTTCCTCTGCTCAGTCAGACGGCTGGACTGGGCTTGGGCTCCTCCTCCCTGTGCCAGGGTCCAGAACCTGGCCCTTTTCAGGAATAAGACCCGGCTTGTTTCTCTTCTTACAAGGATTGGTGTCCTTTGTCATGTTATCCATTGCCAAAAAGAAAAAAAGTTTCTGCAAATATTTTGCCCAGTTGTACAGCTTTTAATACCAGGAAGACAACTCCATTACTCCCTCATGGATGAAAGCAGAAGACATCTGCTTGATTTGAAATTTATTGTTAGTTTCTGTTTTATACAGAATTTTTATTTATTGGATTTCCTATAAAATATTATACGAAAGTCAAATTGCTCCACTCAATTTTTAGTCTTTTTTCCTCTGAAAAGTGGTTCCCTTTTGAAATATCTGTTCGAAGCTTTTGCCCATTGTTAAAGTTGTTATATTTTCTTTTTGTTGAGTTGCGAGATCTCTGTGTATATTCACGTCCTCTGTGAAATACATAATTTGCAAATGTTTTCTTCCAGTCCATATGTTGTCTTTTCGTTCTTTTAGTAGTTTCTTTCATGGAGCAAAAATATTTTAGCTTTACCGAAGTCCAATTTATTAATGTTTTGTTTTGTGGATCAAGATTTTGGTGTTATGAAATTTTTTTGTGTCTAATCCAGCATCAAAACATTTTCTCCTACATTTTTTTGGTAACTGTCTTAGAGTTACACGTTTTACATTTAGGTATATGAATCACTTTGGGTTAATTTTGTATGAAGTATTAGGTCCTTATTTTTGCATATGGATGTCTATATTAGTTATCTATTGTTATAAAACAAATTACCCTCAACCTTCATGGCTAAACACAAACATACTTATAGTTTCTGTGCAGCATGTATCTGGACACCACTTAATTGACTAGTTCTGGCACAGAGCATCTGATGAGTCTGCTGTCAACTGTGGCTAGAGTCATCTCAGAGCTTGACTGAGGGTTACTCTGCTTCCAAGCTTAGTCACATGGTTGCTTAAAGGCCTCAGATGACTGTTACCCAGCTTTTCCATGTGGCGGGTAGCAGTCCATGATTCCTTGCCACCTAAGCCTCTCCATAGGATGCGTATACATCCTCACAATATGACCCTGACTTCCACTACAGCAAGTGACTCAAGTGAGACAGAACATGGGACAGTGAAACCAAGACGGAATTCTCGGTCCTTTTTTACCTAATCTTAAACATATTTCTTAACCCACCACAATGTCTAGTTATTTTAGCACTATTTGTTAAAAGACTGTTCTTTCTGTATTAAAATGCCTTTTCAATTATGTCAAAAATTAATTGTACACATTTATGTGGGTCTATTCTAGACTCTCATTCTGTTCCATAATAAAATATATATTAAAGTTTTATTTAGATTATGTTAAATATGAGTGATTAGAGGCCAGAAGCTCTGTTTCGCACTAATATAATTACATTGTATTATTTTCTAACAACATGAGTATCTGGCCTTAGAGACATGATGCTTAACCATCATGATAGATGCTTCAAGACCTGCCTGCTGATTATAATCTGACCACAGCAAGTGGTATGGGCTAAAGGTACAACAGGGAGATTTGTAGCTAGGAGACGAGGGTGTGGACAAGCAATGTTCTGTCATTATGACATTGCTTTTCCATTCTGAGTTCTGTCACATGGTGGCTAGGCTGTCTGGGGCAAAGAGAATTAGATATCTGGCTAGAGTG